CCCATGGTGCACTATCAAGCCGTTCTCTGAAGAGACCAAAGTCTGCTCTTCTGATGTCCAGGCTAGTGAGTTTGCTGTGTGCCCTTCTCGCTGCCCTAAGGATTTTGAACTCCACCATCTCATGGTCTCTGCAGCCAAGGCTGCCCTTGTGCTTCACATGCCCCACCAGCCCCTCCTTGTTGGTGAGAATAAGGTCCAGCACAGCTCCACTCCTCACTGACTGCTCTGTCACTTGGAGAAGGGATTTATCATCGATGCATTCCTGGAACTTCCTGGATTCTTGTGCCAGATATTGGGGAGGTCCTCCATGAGGACCAGGGCTGGTGAACATGAGGCTGCTCCTATCTGTCTAGAGAGGGCCTCGTCCACTTGGTCTTCCTGGTTGGGCAGCCTGTAGCAGACTCCCACTATAATGTCACCTGTCCCTGCCCTCCCTTTAATCCTGACCCATAAGCTCTTGGTCAGCTCCTCATCCATCTCCAGGCAGAGCTCCAGGCACTCCAGCTGGTCACTGACCTAGAGGGTGACATCCCCTCCTCATCTCCCGTGCCTGTCCTTCCTAAAGAGCTTGTATCCTTCCATTCCATGACTTCAGTCATAGGACCTCATCCCGCGAGGTCTCCATGATGACAATGAGATCATATGCTGTATTGTGCCAGATATGGAAGACTTCCCCTCTTTACAGTAGCCTTGCACTAGGTTGACTTTGACAAATAATGTTTTCAGTGCTTTTGGAGAGGGGGCCCTGGAATCCAGGTATCTGACAGTAGTGAAATCTTTCTGCCTATGTTGCTTTAACCTCTTGAGTGGTAAGTCGTCTGATAAAGAACTAATGAAGGTAGTATTTGTAAGCCCTTTCAGAGAAGGGCAGTATTGGGTACAGTTTGTATCTGTGACTTTCTGTGAAGATCCTAAAGCTAAACAGATCCTGACCCTCCTTAGGGGGAAAATGCTTCTGAACTGTGAATGGTGTGCTTGGCTGTTCTGAGAAGTGTCGTCTTTTTTTTTTCCTCTTTTGAAGTACATGTGGTGATAAACTGAAGTTTGTTTGTGTGCTTTTCCCAGCTTTTCTGCAAAGAGGCGTTTTTGTCTTGAATGCTGTGCAGGGATTTAGATAGTAGTAGTCTCCCTTGCTTGTTGCAGCTGCTCAATAATAAGCTTATTGCCACAATGCAGGAACAGTTTGAGTGGCAACGGCTTGGAGTCCTGGGCTCCAGGCAGCCTCTGTGGCTGGGGAAGTCAGTACGGGCTGGAACTGTAACACTGCATGCAAGCCACAGCTTTACTCAAGTGACTTATTCCCACTTGTGCCCTTGGTGGTAATTGCGGACTGTAGTGGTTAAATAAAATGAATGTCTTTTAACACAGTTAATTTTGGAGCGCTTGCTTAATGGAGAGCTGGCAAGTGTCTTACGTAGGAGCTGGGTTTGTTGGATCCCAAACAGCAACACTGACAGTGAGTGGGACGCTCCTCTAGTCATCTCAAATGTCACTTACCTGTAGCATGAAAAGGGACGAGATCCTTTAAGAAAGGTAGTTTGTAAATCTTTTATGAAACTTAAGTTGCTCAAGTTTTCAACAATAAAAAGGTTTCTCAATCTTCAGGTGATCTTTTATTAGCCTGGTTTCCTATGGAAACACAGCTTACATTTAAATTGCTCATTTTATTTACTTCTGACTTTTGAACCTGCTTGGCATTTGGGCTGTGCGGAGGTGTTACATCCTACAAGATCAGTTTCTACAAGCCCAAGACAAGTGGTCAGCTAAAGATCCTATCAATGTCTTTGCTGATGGGAAGAGAACATGACTTTTAAGTGTGTTCCCATGAAGTTACAACTTCTCCCTGTGAGCAAAGCTATTTCAAAGCAAACCCTGCTTCAGTCTCTGTGAAATTTGTTACTATTTCATGCTAGTCTTCAAAGAAGATTTTTTTCCTTATAACTTTAAATGTATTTCCCATTTTCTTAAGGCATATCCCATCTTGTTTTCAATGCTAAGATGTGCTTGCTTGTCTTGTGTGGCCTTGGGTCCATTTTTGTAATGATGTTGCAATGCCAAAGTGATACAGAGGGACTGAGTCTTAATTTTCAGTGTCAAAGGAAAACGAAGATTGAGACTTCTGAGCAGTGCACAGTTCCTTTTAGACTCACAATCATGTGATGATTCTCTTCTCAAATGACCTCACAGAATATAAGTAGCAGCTTGCACAACAGAAGATAAATGATTCAAGGTGGTGATGAGTTATGTGTTCTCTGGTATTTGTCTTGTGACGCAGCTTGACTTTATGGGGTAATGCAATGTAGCAGAACGAGTTGTTTCAAGGTAGGTTTTCTTCTACAGGAGACTTTTGTTTTGGAAAAGAATCAACAAGCTTAAAGGTGGTTTTACTTCGTTATATGAGATGCATATACTAAAGACATGGAGACCTTGATTTGAAAGCCTTTTAAGAGATGCTGTGTTCCATGTCTAGTCTATGCATACACACTGGTGTGTGGGTGAATAAAGTGATAGGAGGGACACTGTACAATTTTAGCAGTTACATCAGCAGGTCAGAGACTGTCCTCGTTTCCTGTACAACCATTAAAACCGTACATTAGGTATCTGTAAAACTGTATACACCTTTAAGGCCTTGTAAGTCAAAAAGGGGGTTTTATTTCTGAAGTGAGCCGCTCCTGGGTAGTTATAACAACTGAGGCTTCAAATGCAAGATCTGACAGGAAATATATGGTCAAAGCAGTGGCTATTTATTTTTAGCTTGGCTTACAAAGGAAATAGTGCAATCCCTTAGGTCTTATGTGTCCTGTCCTCTTTGGCCTTTGGACGGCTTCAAGCAAACTTGATAGTCTTGAAGACTGGCAGCTGGATAAGAAGCACAAATTCTTACCTTTCTACAGGAAAAGGTTAGTTGTGCTTTGAGATCAAAAGCTCTGTCTGGTCTGCTTGCTAGCTGATAAGCACGAAGTGGTTCTTAGCATAGTAGTAATGGGGGGAGTGGGCTATGAATGCAGTTGTGGAGTGACGCAGTGAGGGAGGGGAGCGATTGAGATGATATGAAGTGGATACAGTTCTGCTGCTTGTGGAACAACTTGATTTTTTAATTTTTTTAATTATTTATTAGGGGTGAGAGCAGGGGGGCAGGAATTGGTTTGAGACCAGCAAAGCGCACAAGCTGAGTGGGGCAAGGGACTCTCTAATGGTATCTTAAACTCTTCTCTCAAGTTATTTTTCCAAACTGCTGCTGTTTGGCAAGTGTAACAACGTGGTGAGCTCAGATGCTGAGGTAATCTTTTGGTCTTGGAGGCGAGATGCTTAGCAACCAGGAATTCTATTTTTGTAAAAATGGATCTTTGCAAGCAGCCAGAAATTCATGATGTTAAGCAGTTTCCTTGTTTGCTGTTGCGTTACAAGGCTGCGAAGTAATAGCTGGTGGTGGTGGTCTGTTTGTAAGTCTATAGCTTGTGTAGCAGTTTTTATAGACAAAAAATGATCTTCCTGCTTGATTGCAGGGGGAGGGAGGCGAATTAATGCTGACAACTGAGCATGGCTTCATTGAAGATTAAGTTTTTTGTTTCCTTTAACTCTCTTCCAGTATTGGAATTGGGGTAATCTCTGAAGCAGGTCTATCTGAACTACTTACAACTGGGTGCTCATAACAGCACCTTCAGACTAGCGTTCATCACAGAAGCACTTGCTTCTGTTACAGCAGCGCACTGTGCGTTTGTGTGCGTAGGCCGTGCACGTACGAGGAGGACAAGACGAGGCTGCATTACAAACTTGATGCTGCTGTGAATCTGTCGTCTTGTCACACAACAGCACAACATTGACACCTCTACTGCAAATCTGTTAGCCCATGCTTCACTGAAAATGTTACCAGAGAATCAGTGCAGTATCCTCTTCTAAAAGTGGTGGTCTTAGCTACTGAATGTGAAAGCTGCAGTGCTAGCTGTGTGTTACTGGGTAAGGTACTGTTGTAGCTGTAACTGCCAAAGGACACGCACAAGGCAAGGTTTGTTGCTATGTTTTCACCCTGACTAGTATTTTAGGGGGGTGGATATTGCTGCTTTAATCTTGTTTTTCCTTCATGTGCGAGACTCTCTGTTTTAAGTAACCTTATCTTCTGTATTGTTGTTCTTATTGGAGAAGTGAAACACCAGCTGGCTCACCAGCATGCTACAACCATTGCAGACAAACCTTGTCTTAGAACTTAACTAGTCTGAAATGTCTGATTTCTATATGTTCCTCTTGATGTAACAGAGGCACTCAGATGTGCATAGTTCTTTATGCAAAAGAAAGGTGATATTTGGGGCTTTGCATATGAGCCAATGGTATTAGTAATGATAACAGTCGGATGATGTTCATGATATGGTTAGACCTGACTGTTAGCTTAAGCAATGAAACATCCTGAGGAATACAGACTGATGTCTAGCACTTCTGGAGGATGAAAAGAGTGGGAGCAGCCAGGTTTGAACACAGAATAACTTTCCAACTTGCCTGTCTTCAGAGCTGGTTCCTTTATTTTACAGATAATCGTGACTTGACTGCCTTGTCTATTGGCAACGTAGAGACTTCCAGGCAACCTAATCTTGCGTCCAGTTCGTTGTGTGCAAGATAAAGCTCTGATAACAAATCAACACACTTGGATATGACCTTCTAAGCGTTGTTCTGATTGCTGCTTCAAGGCCGAATATATTTAGGGACCTTGGGAAGATTTACAGAGTTGTTGATGAAAAATAAAGCTTTTGAAAACCCAGCATGTTGTTAGCTGTTAACTGCCTTATAGTGCTGTGATCCTAAATGGCCGTTTAAAATACTTGGTCATAGTTTATTAACTTCTGCAGCTTAGTTTTGAATTTACTGAGACCTTATTAGCAGTCAGAAGCACTAATCAAAAATCATTGACTGAGCTACTGTATGTTGTGCTTTCTGTGTTTTCAGATGTACAACTCGCATTGCTGAAAATGCAACTGTTAAATATTTGCTTTCCTTCCTTAGGCTGGGTTGATGTCGACCATGTGATAACAAGGAAAATGCAGCTAATAGCAGAAGCTGAGGTAAATACACTTTAATGCTCGCTTGTGGGGAGGAGCGGGATAATTGACCCTGAATGTCGTCTGGAGAGTGACTAGTCCTGGAACACAAATGTCCCTTTTCAGTTGTAGCTTGAGTGCAGTGACTTTTGTACAGCCCCCTTTCTCTCCTCCTCTCTTCTGACTTTTCTCAGGAGAGGGGCTATTATCAAATGCAGTTCTGTCTTTCTTGACCCCATCAGGTTGAAGTCTAAAGATAAGAATGAACTTTGAGGCCTGTAAACAAAATGGAACTTCCCTCACCACTAACTGTTGGCAGTGTGATTATCAGCTAGCCTGCTTGCATATTTGGTCTTTAAAATGCTGTGTGTCCTGCTGTCCATTGAATAAAGGCTAGTGTGTAGCCTGTATCCCACAACTTCTGTTGCCCTGGCTGTAGAGATGACCTTCCTGAGCCTTGGTCCCACTCTTCTTGTCAGTGAGCCATATCCTCAAACAAAAAAAAGCACTGGGTATTTCCAACATCACCTGTGTCTGTGTGAGCTGCCATTGTCTTAGCTTATGTTAAGGTGATTTATGCCCAAATTAAATGAAATTGGCTAACAATGAACTGCACCCTGCTTGTTAACCATTGTTTTGTAGCACACATGTTCTTCAGGGCAAATCGTCCTGCACTCTTGCTTCACTTTATTGCAGAGAATTCTGTGGTAAAGATGAAGTAATCTAATTGTGTCAGCCTTATATGGGAATATTAGGGCGTGGATGCTTACAAGACAGAAATATCTTACACCTTTGAGATGTTTTCCTGTTTAAAAGTCTTTTTTTTTTTTCACCTCTGTAGGTGGTATGTAATAACTGTGTAAGTGTATTTAAATGTCTTCTGCAAAGGATGTACTGCTTTTTGTGCTGAAACTCCTAAAATTCAGCACATTGGAAGGATAGTCAGCTCCGAGTTTTATTTTGTACATTGTCTTCTCTGAGTGATTCTTGTGGAGGACAGGATAGAGCAAGCCTCATATCTTTTCTCTGCAGACAGAACGGCCACTGCAAATCACTTAAGTTGGCAACAGATGCTTGCATGAGAAAGCTTTGACTGTTAAGCATGTTTAGCTTTGTAAGCTCCAGGGAACACTAGTTGGTTGCAAGAGGACAACTTGATCTTGGATTTCTTTCTTCAGGAATGTCTTTTTGTTTTTATTTTTTTTTTTCTAGCCACCAGCTTTGAGACACACTAGTTTGTGCAATTCTTTTCTGCAAAGAGAATTGAAGAAGACAATTAGTGGCACTTTAATTGTTGAAGTTTCTCCTGAAAACACGGGAGCTCAGGTTTTAAACACTGAGTTAGGCAGCTTGCAAATTTGTTAAACGTGCATCAAAGCTACAATAGCAGCTATAAGGCTAAGTAAAAACCTCTATCTACTGCAAAATTCTTGAGAATTCCTGGAGTGCCTGGCTCTTTCGTTGTGTGAACCACTCATCAAAGGCTTGGATTGAAGTTTACCTTCTAGATGATAGGTATCTGAGGTCTAGACAGATACTTGCCTTCTGAAAAGTGCTGGTCACTGACAATGCCTGGTGATTTTAAATGGGATTTGTAGGTGCCAGGTGTTATTCATGCACAGGATGCCTTCATTTGCAGTCCAGTCTGAAAATCTAGTCCTTTGTTCATAATAAACTGCATTGAGAATGGTGTGTTCTGTCACTTGCTGAGGGCTGGATGTTGTTATGTTTCAGTGACTGAAATTACTGAATCTGTTAGCATGAGTAAAATGCTGGTGAACTTTTGTAACTTTCTAAGTGAGCTACAGGGTTACTTTCCTCTGCTTCTCTGTCTTCTCATCAATTACTGGCCAGCTTCTGCCTGGCATAGCATTCTCTTCATACTTGCGCCCTCTTTTTGGTTTTGTAATGATCAGATTCTTTTGTTTAAAACTTAATGGTTACAGCTGAGTGAATCTGCTCAGTTCCTGCCTGAAACTTCAAGCATACTTCAGGAAACTCTTGGTTAAGTACTCTCCATTGGGGGAAGATGTAACAAGGGTGTATCTGGGCCCTGTCCTAGTGAAGGCTGGTGGGAGGTGTGTTGTTTTCATTTCTTTGGTGATGAGTGGAATGCGCTTGGCTTATGGAGCATTAACTGTTGCTCTGGCAATTGCTCAAGTAGATTGCCCTTTGAATGGCAGTAGTAATAGCTGATAATATAGCACGATGTGTTTGTGCAGTTTTGTTGTATGGAATTGCAGTTACTGTAGGGTCTATGCTCTGGCTGTATTTTATTTAATCTAATGAGAACTTGTGCCTTTCTCTCCCGATCCAAACACATGCATATGTTGGTACCAGCCCTGGCGGGTTGCATTAGGAGGAGGCAATCTCAGCAGAGTGCTGACTAAAGGGAAGAGGTAGTTTAAGGAAATAATTTTTGTTAAATTTTTGCTGAGAGGAGATTAGGCTGAAAAAAGGGGAGAGACTTAAAAGACAGGCTTTTAGTAGGAATGAATAGTGCTTTCTTTGGCATGGGAATTTGAAAGCTCCAAAAGGAGCAGGAATTTCTGTTTGACTTGTTTGGTAGGGATATGTGCACGCATGCTGTAAAAGCAGGCTGTGCCAGAGAGGACACCGGTGTCCTCTCTAACAGGTTGTTCCAAAGTACTCAATGTTGGCGGGTTTTCCTCCTGTTTTTAAAGGAACAAGTCCACATCTCTTGCAGGGACAATCCTCTGCCTCCCAGAAAAGCAATATCTAAGAGCAGCCAGCTCCTAAGAACTTCTGTTTCATTAAGCAGTGGTGACACTTATTTATTCTATACTGGCAGCTGCCAATTAGGGGAAAAATGTTTTTATTCAGTTAAATATTAATCTGCTCCTGCTGCTGTGGCTTCTGTTTCAAGAAATCTCTCTGAATCTGACTGGTATGGAACAGGAGGAATGTAGAGGTTGATGCATCTTGACTTCAGGGTCTTCTGGTTTTATGTAGTCTCACTTCAGATTGTCTTGTATTTCCTGCCAGAGAGTTAAACTGTTGTTGCATTAGACAGTAGCATTTTGTAAGAAAACATTATCTACTAATATATTTTCTTAGCCTACAAGTTTTGCTTGTAGAGAGGGCTTTTTAGCTTAGCTTTTTGAGTGATCTGCTATATAAAATCAATGCAAGTGTCCTTGAAAAATGAAGGATATATTATGGATGACTAGGGTCCATCAGTGGAAACAGACTCCTTAAAACGTAGCTGTGGAAAGAGGTCTATGTAAGGGGCAAACACATCACTACTGCAGCTTAGAGCTAACAGTTCCTGTTTCAGTTATCTGGCTTTTCCTTCTTTTCTTAGACCTTGAGCCTGTTCCTTTTTAGCAAAAACAATGCTGTACCAGCTTTCTTCAGCACAGTAGCTAGGCCCAGAAGCATAAACACCTGCTGACAAATAAGCTCAAGTGTCACAAATGCCTTTTTGAGGAAACATCACTTTTGTGTACAATTTCCATGCTCTTTCTTTCCCACCTTGAAAATGAATCTCTTGGTTTTTACTTTTCAGCTTTAATCATTAGAAAGTTGATAGCAGTCAGGAATTCTGAAGATGATCAGGGAAACATGTTTCTTCGGCAGCTGATCAGTAGGAAGACTAGATGAAATAATATGTAGTTATCAAGTAGGAAGACTTGGACCATGAATCTGGAGGCAAACTTAAAAAATCCCAGGCAAGAGGATGGTCAGACAAAAGTTACTAGTAGACACTTGCATAAAAAAACAATTAGATTTGAAGTAATTTCTTGAAACTTGCCTATCTCCTGTGCTGAAGATGATGGCTATCTGTCAGAGTGTTCTTGAAAGGCTTATGGTTCAGGAACTTGGGGGATAGCTTTCAGCCATGCTTCATCACTAGGCTTGAGTGTTGGGAAAACCATTTGGTCCCTGAGGACTTGACATTAAGGAACTAAATTCTCGTAAGTCTTGTAAATCACCGTCTTTTGAAGTGCCAGAGATCTTAGCATCTTTCGATTCCCAAAGTTCTCACTGAAATATGGTGAAGGCATGTTGCCTTTTTCTTCCCTTGAGGGATTTAATTTTGCCTGCTTTTTTCTAGTCATAACAATAACACATATGGCACTGTGGAAATCTCAGGATCCTATCTCCTTGTAAAGAGTAAGAGAATTTGTACTGCAACAAAAGGCTATCCAGACCTCAGTGTAGGACCTTCTGCAGAAATAAGTAACTTTGAATATTTTATCATTAAGTTTCTTCTAAATGCATCTAGGTTTAAAACCTCTGCCTGGGGTGTGGGAGATCAGGTCTTTGAAAGTTCTTGAGACTGGCAGATCCAACTATATTGCATACAGGAATGAATTAGCTAGTCTTCAGGCAAGACAAAAGGGATATGAGAACATCTCAGAATTTTACAATCTGCCTTTTTGAAGATGAATTCTAGTCCTTGTCTGGATAACTTATTATTGGGTGGATCAGGTAATGTTTTAGTTTCTACTAAAGAAACTATCAGGTGGAGCGAGTATTGACCAGGGTGGCCTATGCTTTACCCACAGCTGATTATCTCCTTTTTTGTGCACTGTATCAGTGCATTTTTCCAAAAAGATGGTAGAGAGGGGGATGCTCATCTATGATTTTTTCATGCAGCCTTAGAAGTCAAGGTCTCTAGTAAACCAGATGCTTCAGAAGTTGCCTTTGTCTAATAAAACAAGAGAAAGAATATATGAATAGGCTAAAAATGGTACAACTCTCACAACTGGCTGTAATAGAGAAGAGAACCTGTATAAAGCTGTCTGAAGGAAAAGGAGCGTAGGAAATTCAACTGGGATATTTGATCCCCTGAATTCTTGAACTTCAGTCTTGCTGCCTGCTAGTTTTGTGTCTCTCACTGCTCCATCTTAATACTTAGCAATGTTACCCTGTTTTGGTGCTTTAGTGAAAATTTTCTGTGTATTCTGTAATTTCAGTGGTACATGAAAGGTTTTATCCGAACAGCGATAGCAGTGGAAGGGTAGATTTGATCCTTCTTCCTATACTCATGTCATTGAGAGAGCTTTTGCGTTAATGCATGAGAACATCAATGGTGATTGCTTAGCCACAAGTGAATGCTTAGCCTTTTTTCCCTCAATAACACCAGGTGAGCTAAAAAGTAAATGTTGTTTGTACTTGTGTTGTATGCTAAGGATGTAACTCTGGTTAAAAAGAAGAAATATTTCCTGGGGCTCATGCATTGAGTTTAGCTCAACCTTCTTGGCACCGTAAAATATATGAAATAACCTGTTGCTTCAGACATACCTATGAAGATCAGTATGTTTGGTTTGCTCCTCTGTGTTGTGTCTGATAGAGAAGATAAACATTATTCAAAGTCCTCTGGCCTGAGATGTGTGAAACAACCAAGATAAGCCCTGATCTTGTCCAATTTGGCTCCAGCTGTTGGCAGATGGTACAGGAATGTTTTCTTGATGCCTTGTTCTGTCCTGCTCTGGGATAAAAAGGAGTATGTTTTGTGAAAATGTATCCAGAGAATTAAACAACTTTCTGCTCTGATTTTACTCTTACCAGCAATTGAAGCCAGTTTTCATGAAAGAAGTGGACAGTCACTTCACAGAGTTTGTGAACAGTTTGGTGGCAAAGTCAGCACTCCTGGATTCCTCATCTTCAGCCTCCCTCTTCCCGGCTTCCTGCTCAGAGAAGGAACTGCACAAAGCCAAGTCAGTCAGTTTTAAGCTGTTCCTATAACAAGGTTGTGTTTCCTGGAAGCCTTATTTCCTTTCTTGTCTCACATGTTCTCCTCTTTGTTTGCAGGACCTTGAGGGCCCCTCCAGAACATGGGAAGATCTTTACTGCCAGAAGGTCCCTCTTGGAGTGAGTAACTTCATTTTCTATTAAATTGACTGAAAATACCCTTGATAGCAAACTGACTAGCCTTTGCTTTGAGGTACTCTCACCACCACCCCCCATGGTCTTATGTTCAGACCCCTGTGGACTAAGCTGTTTTTCTCTGTTCCTTTCTAAAACATTTCTATTACAGCTTGCAGCTTCCCTGAATGTAAACCTTAATTACAGTCTTCTCAGTACCACTGAGGTAATGGCTAATTATCCTTTGAGGATAAACTGAGGAAGTGTCTGTGTAGACTGGCACCCAATTTATACGTTAACTCTGACTTCCATCTCTTGAATTGGGATGTCATCTTACCTTACTGTGAAACACTTTGAAAGCTAGCATGCTAGAGGTGTGATGCGCTATGCAAATGGCCTGATAGCATTTGAATCTCTCCCTTAGTGAGCTGTTTGAAGTGAGTCACATCAGGACGATCTACCACATGTTCATCGCTCTTCTCATTGTCTTCATCCTCAGCACACTTTTAGTGGACTTCATTGATGAAGGAAGGTAAGAATGCTTTGGAAAGACAGGGATCAGGGCTGCGAAATACTTGCTTCCAAAGTGCCAGAGCTACATGAAGCTGCATAGTGGTGCAGAAAGAAGGGGAAATCCTTCCTTGGGACATTGTTGGAAGGAGGTTTTTGACTTGATGCACTTAAAATATATGCTGAAATTCCTGTTGAGGGGATATGGTCATTTCAAATCGGATAGCTAGATATTAGGAAAACCCTCCAGATTGGTGTATTCTGTGAGAATTATGGCCAGCACAGTCCAGTGTAACTGCTTAGGGCTGGCAAAAGGGAGGGGTCAGCATTGAATGTGGACTGCTGTAGTTGAATATATTTAATGAAATGGTAGCTTTCAGCTTCTTATGTCTCTTGAAGTAGGACTGGTTACAAAAACTTTAAATACTTCAGCAGTCCTTCCTCTCTTTAAAAATGACAGTTCTGGAACACTGTGCTTATGTTTAAATAAAAATAGAGCTTTTTTTTTTTTTCCTGGGGAAACATCTTAAGGATATTGGCACAGCTTCTGCTAAGATCGTTCTTTGCAGGTAGCCAGTTGTGAACACAATTGTGAAAGACTGCTTTCCTCATGCTTGCTTGTTGCTTTAAATAGTGTCTTTTTGGCAAGCTGTATCCCATGTACACAAGCAGGATTACATGTTTATCTTGCTGATTATCTGTTCTTCAGTGTACAAAACTAGAGCTGTATCTTGATTATAATCATTGTCCCTTTTGTCTAGGTATAGGAACAGCCCTGTACACTATTGAATATTGTTTAGCTGATCCTTACTTAATAGTGTATGGACACTGGGGGAGAATAGGTATTGGTATTTACCTCTAAGATCGACTAATAGGGCTCAATTCTCTGATTACGTTAAAAAAATAACTAAAAAAAAAAAAATCATTGCTGTGTTCTCAGCCAGATTTGATTATTTGGATCCAGTTTGCAATTGATCCTCCACATGAGAACAAATGAATAATGTTGGTGTACTCTGTACTGCCTTCTTCTCTGACCTTGGTTTAGTAGAGCTGCTTATGAATAGGAGTAAGCTCTGGTGACTTTGATAGCCAGTAAGGTTGAATGTCCTTTTGTTTATGTTTTAAGCTTGGTTAATGAACTAAAGTACTCAGTGCACACCAGTTAGACATATTTGGACACTGCCATCTAATGACCCTGAGCCTTTTGGGTGAATTCTAAACTGAATCCATGTGGAATGCCTACAGATTTCACAAAGGAGAGTTAAATTAGGTGTGAGTGCTAGGTGTTAAAATACCTCATGCCTACAGAGGTTGGGGAAAAGCCTCTTTAGGTGTTAAACTCCTGGGAAGAACTGATTCTTAATGTAATAGTGGTGATGTTTTGCAGTGTTCCCCAAAAGCTCTTTTGGACCTGGGTTCAGAACAGCAGTGGATCATTCAGTCATGTGCTTGTTCTTAGCAGGGATGAGCTTGAGTGTACTCTTAAAGCACATGCTGATCTTAAAGATGTGCTTAAGCCCTGTGGGATTTGAAGGTAAGCTGTGCCTGACAGCATTGATGGCATGAGTCCTTCATATCTTCATTTCTGGTATGCTTGTGGGTGGTCACTTAAATCTGCTGTAGACAGCCCTCTCTTTCTGAGCTGAAAGTAACCAGTCACTTTTATCCAGACTGTTAAACAATTATGGTCTGGAAGCTTTGCATTTTGTAGCCTCTTAGTAGAGTAGAAGTATTTCTAATGAAATAATGGACACTGAATATCATCTCTTTCCTTGTGCCTTCTAGGCTGGTCCTAGGATTTGATCTCTTGGTCTTTGTTTTTGGAAAGTTCCCAGTTGTCTTCTGTACTTGGCTGTGCATGTTCTGTGCCACAGTTATCGTTCCGTACAACCTTTTTGTCTGGTGGGCCCAAGGCTACTGCAGTTCCTCCCATCGTGTAATCCACTCTCTCTTCTATGGGATGTTGTTCACGCTCTTCACTGGGCTTGGATTTGGACCAACCTATATTGCTGTAACGTACGCCCTGCCTCCAGCTTCCCGTTTTATTGTAATACTGGAACAGGTAGGTCCCTATCACATGTCTTTGGATGTATTGAATCTTGTTTCCAAAATCGAAAGGGTCCTTTCTTCCTAGAGAGTCAAGTGTTGCTTTATTTCATTAAATTAAGCCAAGGCTGTGGATGGATTTTGTCTTTGACTTGAAGACAGACTTACAGGCAGCAAGTCTAATGAGAAAAAGTAGACAGTAAACTTTGTTTTAATGCAGAAACCACTTAGGATTTTACCCTGCATTTAAGATCTTCAGGTGGATTTTTTTTCTGAACGTACATCGGGGCTGAAATTCTATTTATTTCTAGTTGTCTTGTGGATGCTAAATGCTTAAAACCAATTTTAAGAACCTCTTGTGCTGTAGTTCACAGGGAAGCTGTAACATTAGTCTTTAAAAAAAAATTAAAAAGGCCAGTACATAGTCAACAAGTGGTTCCTGTTTCTCTTTTTGTTCCCAGGAAGCAACTGTTTTTGTCATGTAGACAGAACTTTATTGAAAGTGGCATTTTCTTTTTCAGGGGAAGAGTGCAAGAGTGTGGAGGACTGGTCAGGCCATCAGGTTAAAACAAGGATGGTCAGGCCATCAGGTTAAAACAAGGATGGTCAGGCCATCAGGTTAAAACAAGGATGGTCAGGCCATCAGGTTAAAACAAGGATGGTCAGGCCATCAGGTTAAAACAAGGATGGTCAGGCCATCAGGTTAAAACAAGGATGGTCAGGCCATCAGGTTAAAACAAGGATGGTCAGGCCATCAGGTTAAAACAAGGATGGTCAGGCCATCAGGTTAAAACAAGGATGGTCAGGCCATCAGGTTAAAACAAGGATGGTCAGGCCATCAGGTTAAAACAAGGATGGTCAGGCCATCAGGTTAAAACAAGGATGGTCAGGCCATCAGGTTAAAACAAGGATGGTCAGGCCATCAGGTTAAAACAAGGATGGTCAGGCCATCAGGTTAAAACAAGGATGGTCAGAGATGAGTGTAGGATTGAAGAATTAACTTTAGATTAGCCCTCCTTTTGGTCCTTCAGTGTTAAAACAAATGAAAAACTCTGCTCAGCAGCTGTGGACTATTTATGTAGGGCACCACCTTATTCCAAGGTACTGGTAGTTGCTATAGAACATGTCTAACTTTAAGGAGTCAGTTTCAAGACTTTGAAACATACTGGCCTATTGAAATGGTTGGGGAGGGGGGTTCCTTCAATTTTTAAGTTAATGTTGACTGGTTAGTGACTTGCTGGTGTTATTCAGAGTCCTTGTGTATGCAGTGGTCCTGTGAGTGTAAATGAGATGTGTTTTGACTGTCCTGAGCCATGATACTGCATGTTTCACCTTGCAGTGTTTTAAATTCATGTCAGTGAAACAGGCTTGTGGGCAGAGGAGGCAGCCTTTGCCTTGTAAAAGGTGTAAATTGGAGAGAAACAAAGATGTTGAAGGTGTGCCATGAAATGCTTGATCCATTCTTTATTGGGAAGTTGGGAAAGTGAGAATATTAAGCTGATATTCTCTTGGTTTTACAGGTTCGTCTTGTTATGAAGGCTCATTCATTTGTCCGGGAGAATGTGCCCAGAGTCCTGTCCTCTGTAAAGGACAAGTCCAGTGAGTAACTTGCCCAAACTTTTTTGACAACAGTGCATAACCAGCTCTTGTTTTCCCTCCATTGCTTTGAGCTGCCCTCATGAATTAGAGAGGTTGGATTTGAGCAGGCGACTTTGGATAGGCATGTGATGAGCCTCTAGGATGAACCTTTTCATTTGGTGTTAGGCAATGAGCTAGACTGTTGTTCAGGTCGAAGTCATCTCTGTGTCTTAAGACTCCTTGTTTCTGCTTTTAGGAGAAAAAGGTGTGCAGAGGCTGCCTGCACACCCCCAGTTCAGTGCTCTAGTTGAAATGACAGTAACTGTAGAAGCACAGGAGCTCTTTCAGCAAGGCATGCCAGAGCTGAGCATGAACCCACATGTTGACACAGGCCTTACAGCTTCATCTTCCCTAGGGGGAAAGGAAATGTGCTATCAAGGTGTTAGCACTGCATTACCTATTAGTTGCACTCGCTTGTTAACTGTGCTTCGTGGAGGGGGTGATTCCATGTGATAAGTCTAATTTGGTTTGTTCTCTGCAAGTCTCATACCTTCAATTCCAGACTGAGGGTTTTTGAGGTTACAAGGATTCTATGTTGTGAAAAAGATACTAGGGAAACTGAACCATCAGTAAGCAAAAAGATTGCAAAGAGTTCTTTTCTTTTATTTTTATTTCCACTTCTTCCAGGCACAGTACCTATTCCCAGAATTTCTCAATACCTGTACTTTCTCTTTGCTCCCACCCTGATCTACAGAGACAACTATCCCAGGTAATGTGAGCAATACCAACAGAACATTAAAGTAGCCCAGAAACTGAAGCCAGTGGTAAACATCCCTGGTTGTGATCTATTCAATTTATGAGTTAGAGCTTTCATAAGATGTGGTTGTCAGTAAGCTGGCAAGGGCACGGCTTGGGTCATGAAGACTCAGTCTAATGCTAATAGTATTTTGACTTCACAGTTCTGGTTTTGTTTCTTTGGGAAGTGCACTTGAAGGGAAACAAATTAAGAACTTGTTACTGAGTATCTAGTGATACACAGTTCCTGCAGTAGGCTTGTGTGGTGTTCTGTGTGGTGCTAATAAGCAGCCTTGTCTCTTGAGTTTGAGGAGGCAGGCTGAAGCCTTTAAAACCCAGAACTCCCGAACTTTTCTGTACTTTGCTGGGTTGCACTTTGACAGTGTCAAGTCAGCAGTCCTTTACATGACTATCAGGCAGATCACCACCTCCTACGTAATTGCATAACGCTGCCCTCCAGATACTCTTCCATTTATGGAATTGCCATAGTTGTCCTGCTGTAGTTGAAAGTGAGGAACCAGCAATTTGGGCAGACAACTCTTAGATGCCAGGAGATTACGAACTCTGGAATTAAAAAACCCTTTTTTTTTTTTTTTTTCAGAGTGTAGGTCAGTAAAGTCGATAGCTGAAGGGAGGTTTTTGCTGCTTTGAGGTCCAATTTAGATGTGACATCATGTGTTCTTTTCCCTAGGAATCCCACGATAAGATGGAGCTATGTAGCTACCAAGTTTGCACAGGTCAGTAGTGCAGCTTTCTGAAGAATGCACCTTCAGAGATCACCTAAACTGTGTGGCTGAACAGTTCTGCCTTCGGCATTAAATCACTGTTTACTTGGTGTGGGCTTACCAGGAAAGAATACCCTTTAGTGACTAAAAAAAGAAATGGTGATCTTGCTATGCTAATGGTTGTGTCAAAGAAAAAAAAAATCCTTGCTTCAACAAGCCTTTAGACTCCCTTCCATACAAACAAGCTGCGCACGTGTGCGTAGCAATACCCTTGTCCCCCTCTCTTTCCACTGGTGCTGTGTTGTAATGCACTGGCACGGCTACCTGTCTGCGCATGCTCAGACCAATTTTGAAATAATGAGGTCTGGAATCCAAATCTTCAGTGCTTATTTGAGTTTAAGGTTGACCTGATCTTCGCATTTCTGGACGTGAGCTTCAATAGCTAGTTGTGGATGTGTTTCCAAGTAATGGCTTTGCATGACTGAAACTTCTACTGTCAAACAATGCATTCATGTTTTAAAAAGCAAAACAATTGAAAGAAGGGGAAAAAAAAAAGAAAAGTGAAGCATGAAAAGGCCTTTGGCTGCTTGCTTTTTGACAAAACTGGGTGGCAAAGTGCACCTGGCTTACAGCAGTCAGAGTATTTAAAGCAGTGGCTTGCATTTTGACCTCGACTTCTAGAACATGAGTTCATGAGCCAGGGAAGGGATGAGGTGTTTTGACCTGTGAACATCTCCTTTGGGATAAAGGAAAGTAAGCTTTAATATTAGATTTAACTGCAGTAAATATTTTTCAATTATTTCTGCCCTTGTCTTGGACCTAGATCACAGGGTACTTTCCCCACTTACTTTGGCGTTGGCACAAATCTTTTGTGTCATAACTTCTGAGTTGATAGGACTAGTAGAAATTTACAGCTGCTGTCATAGAAAAGACAAGTTGATTTTGCCCGTGGCTGTCAATGTGCTGCAGATGGCTGTGGCTTACTTTCTGGTGGACCTTTAGGGAAGTTTATTAGCAGCAATGTAAAATAAGTTATTTGGACTTGTGTTGGCAGTTGCTGTTCCTCTTCTAGAGCTGTCAAGTGGTGATGTGTGTGTTCAGTGTGCATTTCTCTTAAGGAGTCAGACTACTGCTTTTTTCTTGTAGGTGCTTGGTTCACTTTTCTATGCCTACTACATCTTTGTGAGACTCTGTATTCCTCAGTTTCGCAACAGTAGTCAAGAAACCTTCAATCTTCGAGGGCTGGTCCTGTGCATCTTCAACTCCATTCTGCCAGGTAAGACCCAGATTCATGAGTGATTGTATCTTTATGGAGAAGGTGGAAGGGAGGGGAAGTGCTTCATATGAGGTGCGTTCATGACAGGCAGAGATCAGCAAAGGAGGTCTTGTGGGCAGGCTTCAGCTTTACGGCATTAAACTTTACAATCAGCAGCACAAAACAAGCTTGAGTTTGAATTTAACTGTCTTCAAAGTCAAGTTCTAGGCTCTGTGGCAGCCTTGCTGTTGCCCTCTGGGGTAAGCATGGCCTGGTGTGGTGAGAAACTGAAGTGCTTTTACTTTTTTCTATGGGTAGCACAAAGCTCATCTGTGTCAGTGCCTATAAGAACAGTCTTGACTGTGTTACATGTTCCTGCTTATAGCTGAGAGAAAACACTACAAAATCAGTCTGACTCTACCTTGTTTCTAGGTGTACTGATTCTCTTCCTGGTTTTCTTTGCGTTCCTTCACTGTTGGCTTAATGCATTTGCTGAGATGTTGCGCTTTGCGGATAGGATGTTCTACAAGGTAAGAAGCAGGAGTTACAATTTATAAAGCAAGCTTTATAAAGCTTCTAAAGTTCATTTTCCTAATGAAAAGGAAAGAGGAGGAAGCTGAAGATTGTTTACTGAATGTAGCATCCACAAGGTTTTGCTTGGTTTATGCTGTTAGGGCTTAAGTTTGTTGCGGTGCTGTAGAACAGACCTGATTTCTGCTTGGCAGTCTGAATTGTTTCCACCCTACGCATGAACAGAACCAGCCCCCAGACCTACCCAGTAGCTCTGTTAGCACTCTCTTTATTCTTTTATCATCTCGGCCACTGCAGTTAGGGATAAAACCAAACTTTGGTATACAGAGTAGAATGTTGAAAGTGCGATGGAATGCATTATTTCACGGTGTAACTTTGTTATATTAGCTTGGCATTATTCTGATCGATGTTTTTCAACTTGATATCCAAAAGACCTGTAGAATGTTTTGTGCTTAATTAGATTTATACTCTTGAACTGTGCTTTCAGGACTGGTGGAACTCCACTTCCTATGCAAACTACTACCGAACCTGGAACGTGGTAGTACATGACTGGCTCTATTACTATGCCTACAGGGACTTCCTTTGGGTGAGTGACAAGCAGATGTATTCTTCTTGTTAATGAAACATTTAACCACCAAGCAAGACAGTGCATTTGTCAAGATGCAACGTCGCTGTCCATTGAGAAGCACAAAAATGTCTTGCTTCAGCTGTTGTGGGCAGCCACTGGGCTTTTTAGTGATCCATTGCTTGTTTTCAAGTCCTTAACACGTGAGAAATGTACGCCTGAGACCTGGGAATGCAAGGGTTGACTCAACAGTCTGAAATCGTGTTGCACTGCTTTGATGAGCTATGGTAGATACTTCATGGGTGGACTCAACCTGAGTACTTATGCAGGAGACCAGAAATATGCCTGAAGAAAAACACCTAAAATCCAAAGTACTCTGTAGAGCACTTAGCATTTCATATATGCCTCTTGGCTGGAGCAGGCACTTCTTAGCTCAGGTTAAAAAAAAAAAAAAAGGCAATGTTGAAACAAACTAAAACCCTAAAACCACAGCAGAACAGTTTATAATGCTTTGTTCTTCTCTCTTCTAGTTTTTTGGTAAGAAGTTCAAAGCAGCAGCTATGCTATCTGTCTTCACCGTATCAGCTGCTGTGCACGAATATGTTCTGAGCATCTGCTTCGGCTACTTCTATCCAGTTCTCTTTTGCCTGTTTATGTGCTTTGGAAGTAAGTTCCCAGGAGAGAGTATGTGAGTGGGTTGTGGGGTTTGTGGCTTTTTTTTTAAACAAGGATGCTTTGCCCTTCTAATAATGATACCAGTTATTCTTTAGGCACTGACACACAGAACTGTTTCTTGTTCAAGTGTTGCAATTGTGGGTCCAAACTTTGTGAATGGATTTTTGCAGCTAAGAGTAGCTCAGTAGAGAGAGAGACACACACACACATGCACACACTGGGTTTGCAAGCTTGGGACTTGAGATGGGCAAGGTATTGATGGAGAGGAAGAGAGCTATATATGATATACTGTACATATTTTAATAGCACTGCTTCCTCTTTGCCAAGCCTTAGTTGAATTGCTGTATGTCGGCAGGTTGGAAGTGTTCCTCTTTTAAAGTCATAGTGTAAGACAAGTAATACTTTGCTACTGCAGTGAGGAAGAGAGCTCATCTAGAAGTTTATAGAATCGTAGACTTGTTTGGGTTGGAAGGGACCTCTAAAAGCCATCTAGTCCAACCCCCCTGCAGTGACCAGGGACATCTTCAACTAGATCAGATTACTCAACCTGATCCTGAATGGGATGGGACTTCTACCACCTCTCTGAGCAACCTGTTCCAGCGTCTCACCACCCTCACAGTAAAGAATTTCTTCCTAATATCTAGTCTAAATCTGCCCTCTTTTAGTTTAAAACCATTACTCCTTGTCCTATTGCAACAGCCCTGCTAAAAAGATTGCCCCCATCTTTCTTATAGGCCCCCTTTACTGAAAGGCCGCTGTAAGGTCTCCCCGGAGCCTTCTCTTCTCCAGGCTGAACAACATCAACCCTCTCAGCCTCCTGTGTCCTCACAGGAGGGGTCCTCCAGCCCCCTGATCATTTTTGTGGCCCTCCTCTGGACACACTCCAACAGGTCCATGTCTGTCTTGTGCTGGGGGCTCCAGAGCTGGATGCAGCAGTGCAGGTTGGGGTCTCACCAGAGCAGAGCAGAGGGGAAGAATCCCCTTCCTCGACCTGCTGGCCACACTTCTCTAGATGCAGCCCAGGGTACTGTTGGCTTTCTGGGCTCCAAGCCCACATTGTGTCCAGCTTTTCATCCACTAGCACCCCCAAGTCCTTCTCTGCAGGGCTGCTCTCAATCCCCTCATCCCCAGCCTGTATTGATATTGGGGATTGCTGTGACCCAGGTGCAGGACCTTGCACTTAACCTTCTGATGTTCAGCAAGGCCCACATGGGCTCACTTGTGAAGCTTGTCCAGGTCCCTCTGGATGGCATCCTGTCCCTCAAGTGTATCAACCACACCACTCAGTTTGGTGTTGTCGGCAAAATTGCTGAGGGTGCACTTGATCCCACTGTCTGTGTCATTGGTGGAGAAATTAAACAGCACTGGTCCCAGTATGGACCCCTGAGGGACTTCACTTGTTACTGATCTCCATCCGGACATCGTAGCTGTTGACCACTACCTCTGGATGTGACCATCCAACCCATTCCTCATCCACTGAACAGTCCACCCATCAAATCCCTATCTCTCCAATTTAAAGAGAACAATATTGTGGGGGAATGTGTCAAAGGCCTTACAGAAGTGCAGACAGATGACATCTGTAGCTCTTCCTTTGTCCACTGATGTGGTCCCTCCATCATAGAAGGCCACTAGGTTGGTTAGGCAGGACCTGCCCTTGGTGAAGCCATGCTGGCTGTCTTGAATCACCTCCCTGTCCTCCATGTGCCTTAGCGCAGCTTCTAGGAGGACTTGTTCTGTGATATTCCCAGGCACAGAGGTGAGGCTGACAGGTTAGAGCTGTCAAGTTAGAGCTCTTGCATTTCATTTTGGGTTTTGCATTAGAGTGAGTTAGAAGGCTCTAATAAACTCTTAGGCCACCTCACTAGCATAACACAAACAATATTGATCCCTAGAGGCATACAGCTAGGCCAGCTTGTTGGTAAACTTATTGGAGGTAAATGTCAGAATCGACTCTCAGTATTTGCTCTACTGCCAAGTGTAATCAGATTTTCTTGTACTATACTGACGTCACAGAGCAGCCTTGTTGCTCCAGAGATGAAGCGAAGGGAGGGAAAGATCCAGTGAAATCAGTTGATCTTTGATTGTTTAATCTCGAGTTTGTTTCTGAATGATGCTTCTCGTTTCACCTCTTTACAGTGGTCTTCAACTTCATCCTTAATGACCGTCGGAAAGGGCCCATTTGGAATGTGATCATGTGGACATCCCTTTTCCTGGGCCAAGGTGTCATCATTTGCCTCTATAGCCAAGAGTGGTATGCCCGCCAGTACTGCCCTATGGAGAAGGTGAGTGACAGCCCTTTCCTGTGGGATAACTGACTGGGCAGGTGGCTTGTCCTTTCTTGCTGTGGGGACAGGACAGAAGTTAATGGCATGAGCCTTTCTGGCAGTGTGCTGTATCAGTTCGTTAGGAGTTATTTAGTCTAGAAACTGCCCGGCAAAAGTGCTTTCATTAGTGCTCTTTCCGTGCTCATAGTATTTCACTACTTGAAACTGAGGGTGTTTTTCCCACATTTCTGAGGACATAAGCCACTACTTGAGAGTAGCAAGGCCGTTCAGGCTGTGTGAATGGAACTGCAGCACTTGGCCAGTGAGGTCAGGAGAAGCGTTTCTAGGAGGCCTACAAAAATTGAGCCTGTTGTGCCTTTCCCAGGCTAGACTGGGTGGCAGTGAGAGTTGGTTGCCTATAAATGGTCAATTTGGGGTTTTGTTGGTGTTACTTTCTCTGACTTAACTCATTTTCTTGGTACTGGATTCTGTTCTACATAAAACTTCTTGCTGTCTTAGTTGATTTCAGCTTTAACCAAAGGTATCCTCAGGCAAACTCTATTTTAAGTTTGATTCTCCTCAGTTAAGAGTTTGCCATCATAAATGACTGGCTTGTTGATACAATATGCTACTAGACACAGCATTTACCTGACATATCGGAACTGGGGGTGAGGTGGGTGGCAGGCAATCAGCTTGTGGCTGTAGCTACGCTTCCACACAGTGTTAGTGAGGATAAGAATAGGGTTGCAGGATGTGAAAATGTGGTTTGATCTTTCCTGTTAGAGAAGTTTGACTTCAGCAGACCACACCACAGCCGGTGCCATCTGTCTGTCACTAACTTACTGCCTCTCCTTGTCTTGCAGCCCACGTTCCTGGACTACTTAAAACCGCGCTCGTGGTCATGTCACATGAAGATGTAAAAATGGTATGCTCCGGCCGTGTCATCACAGAGAATCGGCATTGTCCTCCAAGTATTTGGACCAATGACCTAACTCACTGCGGACTTTTTCTAAGGGAAGTTGTGCCTCCTGATTATTGGGGAGAAATTGTTTTTTTTTTTAAATGTTACTGAGGCAAACCAGTTGACCTGGATTGCAGCAGCCTTCGTAGGCAGCATCTACTATGTGCTGTCCCACTCTGAGCCATTTCCATACCAGTAAAACATTGAGCTGAAGGTGGAGTCTACTGGAATGCTACTCATCCAGGGGTCCCCTCACGTTGCTGCTCTTCTGGACAACAGATAGCCTAGTCAGATTTGTTAGTAGCTCATTGTTGGCATCCGTCCATCTTCCGTAGCCATCCCTTTGCAAATTTTTTCTCCCTTTTAGTAATGAGATGTCTGCAGAACTTGTATTCTTTGTGATTCTGTCTGCTGCTGTGACGCAGACCAGTGGCCTCCTTGCTCTGAAAACAGCCAAAGTATTCCTAGGTGGCTTTGAACTGTATCCTGTGTATGTTGGCTGCCTACATATTTAAAATGGGCAGAGGAAGAGGGGATTGTCAGTTTACTTGTGGCTACATTGGAGAGCCAGGTTCGGAAGCAGGGCACAGTGTGTGCAGTCTTTATATGACTTTTTACACTGAAAATTTATGTTTTCTCTATATTCATTAAGTTCCCAGCTGACTTACAGAATTTTTGTTCTCTGGAAGCCTTTGACTTGAGGAATAGTTTTTCTTCTAGCTCTTCCTTTCTCTTTCTCCAGATAATTAATTCTTTTAATATAATTAACTTGTAAAAGAGCTTTTGCTTTAATTTGGCAGGTGCTTTGATGTATACAAGTTGTTAAGGCTTTCTTTAGTAAGAAAGATTTGAAATACTACAGCCCAACTGTAAGAAAATGTGATCGACTTTACAAGTACAAAGCGCATTCTCACCTGAAATGGCTACGTCCAGTTCAATACACCAGCAGGTCTTGGTGCCTCTCGCCAACATGTGTTGTGGCAGCTTCTAACACTGTCGGTGGGAAACGAGAGTTGACCCAGCGGCTGGAGTCAGAGCTGCTTTTTCATCTGCCTGTGTCTGCTTTGACGTCAGTGGGGACTTCAGGTGAAGATGAGTTTCCTGGGTATTGCCCTCTTCTTTTTGAAGAGGCAGGACATTCTCCCGTACACACCAATAAAGGCAGAAGCATTACGTGAACTTGGTGTTTCAATACCTATTGACTAGGCAGAGTCCCTTCAGTTGCCTTGTTCTGTCAGATGCTAAGCACAAAAGGGAACTTGCGTAGTATCTGGGTACGTCTCTTTCCAGTTTTACTGGAGCTGCAGCTCCCGTTACTGGAGAGGGCGGGTAACCTGATGGAGGTACTTTAAGTTTGGTCACAGGGATTTCTGAATTACTCCAATGTTCTTTATGGACACTTTTTGGTAACAGCTTTTCCTTACTGACCTACAGCCTAGGTATTGGATACCAGTAGTATTGGGACTGTTGATGGACTTGTTTCCCAGTCCACTTAAGACTGTCTTTTGGGCTTCTGTTTTTACTAACCTGAGTCAGAAGTAATTTCGTGAAAGCTAGGCGATACTTAAACTCTTCCAGGTTTTCAGTTTTCTGTAAGAAGGAATCCTGCTCTTCAGAAAGGACGCGGTATCAGGTCAAATTTGCCAAATACAGTGTTTGTGTACACAGCTCTCCTCTGAAAATATCTCCTACTAGAACTTTTTTGTTGAAACAGCTGGTTAATTTCAGAAAGAGTTTATACATGTACTCAAACTTGGCAGTATTAGTATATAAAATCTTGAGAATGAAATGGGTTGCTCTGTCCTCATTCAGTTTGATTCATTCTAAGTCTTTCACTGTACCTTTTGTGGGAAGAAAGGACAGAAGTGCTGGAGCCACTAAGCTTCCTTTTTGGGGGGGAAAAAAAAAAAGGCAAAACACCTCACCCTTTGGCCAAACAGCTTTGTCACCCACTTAGTATAAGGGTGGAATTCAGTTCAGGACTTCTTGGTTGTGGTGCTCAAAACACTAATGTACAGCTGTAATTGCACTCAAATAGGGTGTGATGGGTTAGGGACTGGGTTTGTCTTCTTGATGCCTGTGTCGCATGTTGCTGCTGTCTCAGTGTCTGTCCTCAAAGGGAAATCAAATCATGTTGCTCTGGGCCGAGTTCCGGTGTTTCCCTTGCAGCTGGCACCGCCACATTCCTAATAAAAAATATCAGCATTTACTGTGTCAGCATCCTTGGTGTGGGAAGCCTGAGGGCTTGAGCATCTGGCAAGCAAAAGGCAACCAGCAAAGGATGCTCAGCTGTTGGAACTAGTTTTAGTTTTTGACAGGTTGAGGTTTTTAGCCTTGTAGATCAAGGCGTCTGGCAACTGTGCTGTCAGGGCATTAACAGTTTGGATTATTTTCAATTTAGCATTTTTTTTAAATTGCTTTTGAATCTGGGCTTATTTTCATTTTTCTCAAGAGTACTGGAGGGGAAATGCTAAGTCTTTTGTACATCGCTTGTTTAATTAGTCAATTGTACCACGTTTGTTTGGGGTTTCTTAGGCTGTGAGTGCCAGAGCTGGCGGTATGGTGTTCTGGTCAATAATGAGTATGCTAAGGTTCGTAACCTGTCCTTAATAATAATGTGTACTGTTTTCTGTGATTCTTTCCAACACAAGAACTGTGCAGCTTGCTTCCATGGTAGCTCCCTCAGTTTTGAGGTGGGAAGCCTCCAGCTTTGGAATGGCAGCCAGTACAGCAACAGCTCCTTGCTCAATAACATCCCAAAGATCGGTATTAATATGGTGAAATGTGTCCTGGTTTTCATGCAGATAACTGTTCTCAGGAAGACTGAACCTGTGCAGAGTCTTCATGCCTAGTACGTCCTTTCTGTTGGGGTATTTAGCTTCCAGCCTTCAGAGGTGAAGCAGTCCTGCATCTGAGCTGCTAACTGTGTGCCATCGCATGACAGCCGAATCAATAAGACATGTGCTATGTGCTGGGGGGGAAATCCTGATGTATTTTTTTCATATGAAATGGCATGGATTATGTGAATCAGTCCGCCCGCTAAAGGAAAACTGAACTGTTTGAGCTCCCTCCTTCTGCATGTGGATGGGCTGGAAGGTCGGTGGTCCAGCGGCATGCTCTGCGGCATGAGTGACGAGCTGGTTCCCCGCAGTACCTCTGAGCCAGCCCAGTTCAGCCCAGTCTCTTCTCCCTGGGCTTGCAGCTGGGGCTGAGGAGCCACGGCTGCCATGTGCCAGCGGGGGAGAGGCGCACGAGCAGCACTGCGCGCGGCTGTGTCAGGCCATGGCCCTGGCACCGGCGGTTCCCTGTACGCAACCTGTACCGTGTTCTGTCATGCGGAAGAGCTCTTTATAATCTACTGTATTACAGCAGTTGAAATATATTTTGATATTAGGGGAGGAAAAAAAATTGCCTTGGCCTGTTTCTTTCTTCTTGGAGGCTCCTGATTTTGGGCATAGGGGAGGGAGGGGGGCTTGGGGCAGAGCGCAAGATACGGGGGGTT